CTCTTTGGAAAATAAGTTGCCCCCCCCCCTCCTCTTTGGGGCAAGCTCTTAAATACTGGAATACTGCTATCATGTTTCCCCTAATCTTCCTTTTCTCTTGACTAGTCAAACCGAAATCCTGCAACCCTTTTTTCATGTATTTTAGTTTCCATATGACCATTGCTTGGTCCCAGGACTGAACTCCCCTGGCTCGTGTTTCAGACCATAAAGAAAGAGCAGAAAGTGTTGAAAATAGGACAAACGTGAAGAAGATAACTTAGTACCGTGACTCAAAGGTGCTTTTTCAAGAGGCAACTAGGCTTTCTGGTTTTTCTTTGAAGACGTTTGACTTCTCATCCAAGAAGTTTCTTTTAGCTCCAAGAGCTGAAGAAGCTTCTTGGGTGAGAAGAGAAACGTGTTCAAAGAAAAACCAGAAAGTCCAGTTGCCTCTTGAAAAAGCACCTTTGGGACAACCATGACCTGGATGTCTGAGAACCTCCATAGACACTTGGAATTAAAATGATTGGATTGTGTTGGTTTGTAGTGCAATCTCCTAAAGTAGGGATCTTACTGGTTTGTTTACACGGGTAGCATCTTACACCTACTGCAGTATTGCAAAGTTGACAATATATTCAATGTATGTGTTGTGCAATTAGTCTTTATGTAAATTTGCAAACATAACCCTTACATTAGTTAGCCAAGAAACAATTATGAAGTACGATGGGCTTATATACTTTTTAAACTATTAGGATATCACAACAGAATTGTGAAATCACAAAACCGTGCAATAAAATGCCAGTTTCTTATATTTTTAGGAAATGGAAGATAAGGTGATTAGTCCTGAGAAAGCTGAAGAAGCAAAGTTGAAAGCAAGATATCCTCATCTGGGCCAAAAGCCTGGGGGCTCGGATTTTTTGAGGAAGAGACTTCAGAAAGGAGTAAGATCTACATAATAACGGGAAATGTTTTAATTTATCTTTGTTTGCTCTGAAACGAAAACCTGTATCCTGGTATGATAGCATATAGAACATTCAAACAATGCATTTAATTTATCTTCAAGGATACAAATGAATGCTGTAGATTCCCCTCTTGAGATACTTCGTGCATTCTGTTCATAATGAATGCGTTCTTGGCATGTGATTGCAATGCTAAATACCCTATTCATTAATGTGAGCAGGATGTTGTAAGCAATTCTAACTCAAATGAAACCAGGATTCTCCATCTTGACACATTTTATCTCTATTTGGTAAGTTTTTCCAGATAAGGATCAATTTATGCCTTTTATTCTGCATATGCATCAACTAGATTAAATTAGCCTAGATGCTGAAGCATGTATGTATTTCTTGGAGGAATGACATATTTTTGTTATATTTCACTTGATACATTTATCTTGCAGCAAAAGTACTTTGATTCTGGGGATTACAATATGGCAAAAGCAAAGATGAAGAACAAGCAGCTTCCTACTGCGGCTTCTGATAAGACTGAAGTCACAGGTGACCACATTCCTACTCCACAGGACCTTCCACAACGGAAACCATCTCTTGTTGCTAGCAAACTGGCTGGCTGACTAGGCTGGCAGAACTGCATGAAACTTCTTATTCCCTTAATCTTTCCTTAAGTTTTTTTCTTCTTCACATTTTTGTTTCCACTAAGTCATTGACTGACTGCTTGGCAGGTAGTGGTAGCGTGTGCTGCTATTGTAAGAGTCCAATTAAGAATTGCGTAGTCCTTGGACGAGTTGAGAACAATGCACTGATTTTTTTTTAAAAAGGACATGTTTTGTTTAGAGCAATGTAAAGTAATCTACTTGAAAAATGTACATATTACCCGTTTGCTAGTGTAGGGCTGGTTCCAGCAAGTGACAAAGCAAGTTTGAAAATTTTTAATGTTCTGGCGTTCCTTAGTTCACTTAATTACAGTGTAATATGTTTGTATCAAATACAAGTTCCTTTCCCCCCCCCCTTGTGTTTTGGTTTTGAAAAGTAGAGGTTTTAGACAGTAAATTACTAGAAGGTAAAAAAAAGCATGTATTAAAAACGATGGGGCTCTCACTAAATTTGTGTATCTACTCTTGAACTTGAATGGCCTTAAACCTACTTCAGCTTTAACAATAGATTTTTTTACTTGAGCAATATTTGCTCATTTTGGTGTAATTCTTGTAAACTTTGTGCTTATTGACAACTGTCTGTTGAAGCTGGTATTCTTTTGGGTCCTGTAGCATAGAACACATTTTTAAAGTGGATGAAGTGTGCATGTGCATTGACTGCATTCACTTTTGTGCCATGTCTGTAAATAAGATAGTTTTGCACAATTTTTGCAAATACGTTAACTTTACACTTTTAAAAATGTGCCAACTGCAAGCACAAATTCTGTCTCTTGGAAAACCATAATACTTATTTGAATCAAAACCTCCTTGGTGAAAAGTAATATTGTATGCTTAAAATCTGGAAACTGTTGAAGCACTATGGGTAGATCAGCTTTACCAATACATTTTCCTGTTAATTGATACAATGTTCAGTATAAATATTTCCTCTATATATACAAAACAGTTTATTTGGAACAACGCGGTTCTATTTATTTCAAGGGACTAAACTTAAAACACGTTAAGCTACTTTTAATCACCCTCTATAGGGACTTCCAGCACTACTGTATTTCTTCAGCACATTTGAAGATCTCAAATCACATTTAAAGTTAAATGCAAGAAGTTTAAATCATAAAATTATTGATACTTCTGTGCTGCTACTAGAGGCCTCCAATGCTATAAAAACAGCACCTGCTATTTTAGGAGTAGTTTAAAAAGAATACAATCTCTTTTTAGATTAATAAGTAAAGATGGTATTCGATAGATTTGATATGTTCTAAAATTATGATGTCTTGTAAGATAAGAGTGCTTTGTCATTGTATATTATAAATATTAAAAGCAATCGCATCTTGGATATAATTGGCTACCTATACACATAAAAATTAACAACAAAAATATTTCGTCTGTCTTAAAATCTCAGATTTACTTGACATTCTCATTCTGAAAGATTTTCTGTATAGTTTGAGAGATTTGACTTATTAGGCAATAGGAGCTGGATTTTTCCCAAGGTAGTCTCTGAAAGTAATAAATTTCTGCTGTACTTCTTTTATAAATAAATTCAACATTCATAGAAAGTAAAGAATAAATTAACATTGTTCAAGGTATTGGGCATAGCCTTGCTACATTTCAAATTTTAAAAGGTTACATTATACTGATCCGAATTACTCTGTTAGCTGCATGGATGACAGAACTGAATAATTTGTAATTTCTGGTTTATTTGGGAGGGCTATTTTGTCACTTCTTCCCTAAAGCTGTATTTTTTTCTTTTGAGTAGTAATGACATAGATTTATTCCTGCTATAATCTGCTTCAATTTTATGTCTCAGTTGTATTGCAATTTGAATGTTGTGAGCAGTAGAATCAACACAGGAACACTACTTTGTTATGGATAGAACTGAGAAACCAGTATCTGATTTCAGAACATGTAAAATTTAATTGAAGCTGTTCTAACAAACATTCAGTTCCTTTTTTTATAAGAGGCCAACCCTGTTGAGTAGCTTAAAATGACTTCCTAACAGATTGCTGCAGATTATAGCAAGGTGAATTGGTTTGGTGGATAAGGAGGTATATAAACTATGTCAATCTAAACATTCCATTCTCCTGCTCACAAGTTATATTTTTATATTGATAAGACTGAACAAATGTTAAGGATACAAAAAACACGAGTTGAACGATGGGAAGAATATCTATTCCAGTACCAGTCGGCTTTGATAATGAATCTCTGTCTCTTAAAAAAC